ACAGTACACACAGAAGCATTAAAAATGTTGTATACATACAGCTGATGAATAAATATGACTAATTAGTGGGAGTTAGTTAGTTGAATGCTTTATAAGTAATCGTTTATTAATGGATTATTGTTAAACTCCAATCAGATGTAAAAGACACAAATTAGCAGGGCTATGTGTTAATTAATACATCATTGTATTAAGTTTTTAAATGCAACCAGTATAAGTAACTTAATTTGACTTGGAACAAGCCACTTGTAATTCCCTGTTAAGATGAACTCAGACAAGAAGGGGGGGGGGGGGCAGTACTAATGGCAAACTAGGTGTTTTGCATGCAAATGTGTCTACAAGGTACAAGCTGACAGGAGGAAAGAGCAGAAAGACCTCACCAGCTTGCTGCTGCTCCTTCACTATCCAATCATCAAAGATTATTTAGCATAACCGCAGATTTGCTGACTATATAACCATGAAAATAACAAATGTGAAGTGGATTTGTAGCTAAACTAGAGAAATGTAATAGTTGGGGAACATGTAGGTTCATTATAACCAAAAGTGATATTTCACTAATACCTCCAGACTGACACACTGCATCACTAATTGGCTTTATTATATTCCTTGAGGTCTCCAGCTACAATACCCCTGCACTGGCTCTCAGAGGTGGGGATGTTCCTCTTAACCCTCCTACCTTATTTCTACCATTTCCATATAATAAAATAAATTAAAATCCAACAGGGAGATTGTTGTAGCCACTTTGTAATGGTCCGAAAAAAATGTGCAGTCTTGGGTACTACAGTGCAGAGACCTCATCCCCACAAGATACATCAAGTTAACCAAAAGGGGATTTAACTTTCAAACATCCACCAAAACTAATCTGTGAAACCTACAACATCCAAAAAAGTTAAATGTAAAACCCACAACATGCAGTTGGCCATTGCACATAGGGTTCTAAAATAGTGTAATACTGAACATACAGTATAAGCCCTAAGCTGTCGTATTGTACATTTGGAGTGAATTTCCTCTAAACAACAAAAATAATGCGTTACACATTTGTTTTATTTTCTAACATACAATATACAATTAAATAGCAATGTACAAATAAGTTCACTATTTTAGTGCTACATATAATTCTTCTTTCTGTTCTAAAGATTCAAGATTTTAATCATTTAGTTTACCTTCTCGCTCCTCTATTTGCAGTGGGTTTGATGTCTATCAGGTTGTCCATATTTTGGCCTCTGCTAAAAAATCAAAATGCAAACTGACAATGTAACATTTTTGTAAAATAACATAAAATACTGTTACTAAATGCTTTATTTAATAAAGAAGAGCATGTATCGTGTTTTTCTATATTTTCTGTCTGGCTTATGTTCAGGATCTAAATGGTTCTTTTCACGTTTACCTGTCTATTCTCAGCTGTTCTGTTGAAAAAAAAAAATTATTTACAGAGCTCGATAGTTATTCTCAAATTTATACAAATATCTGAATTAATCAGATAAGTGATAAGAGTATACAGCCCCCCACCAAGCCTGCTGCATTCAGTTGGAGCCATAAGAGGTTTTTTTTAGAGAAAATCTTAAGGCTTCTATTGTGCTCTCTTGTTAAAACCCATAAAACCCATAAGGCTATGGAAATCCTGTAGCATGGGTTCACACTATGTTAACATAGATCTAAACCAATTATATTTAATTTGCTTAAGTACTGTATATCATAAGACAAAAGGGGATCCAACCTGGAACTAGCAAGGTGTATCTAATAAAGTGGCCAGTGAGTACATATTTTTTTATACATACTTGGCATGATAATTTGTTCAAACAAACATAACGTCAGAAAGGTTTTATATTTATAATCATCTGCAGTCATTATTTGTGTATTCTGGCAGTGGCGAGTGTCAGCCTTCAGAGTACAATAGTCGACAGTGGAGATTCCCCCATTCACGCTGTTTAGGAGTTGAACATTTTTTCTGCATGGTTTATGGCCAGCTTAGTCGTTGGTGAGACAGACTTGCAAATTTATTGGCATCCACAAACAGGCAGCACAGATTTGTATAGATTATTTGTACTGCATGGATAACACAGAAGCAATATCACTAACATGCAACATGTTGGGACTATTTACTTGTGCAAAAAGTTTTTTTTGTAATTGCAGTTTCCCTTAGCAACCAATACAAATTTTAGTTTATCCTAGTCACAGCTATGACATAGGGGTCTATTCACTAAGCAGCCGAGTGAAAGACTGACCTGAAGTGAAGTGAGCCGAACGCTGTTTGGCTCACTTCAGGCTGGTACGGCTGATTTCAGCCGTATATCGACTGAAATCAGCAGTACATCGGGTGGCTTTGCGTGGCTTCAGGTCGGCCGAACATGCTAAGCATGTTCGGCCGACCCGAAGTGCAGGAGGAGTTCGACTCAGCCGATCCAACATCTGGATCGGCTAAGCCAAACCTCTGGCAGGCTACTCGCTGATGTTCGATCTATTCTTATAGATGCCGAACAGCAGTGAGTGAATAGCTGAATGCCGCTTTAACTTAAAAAATAGTTTAAAAAGTAAAAAAAATAGAAAGAAATAGAAAACGATTGTGCAGAGCTAGCAATGACAGCTAGCTCCGCCCAATAGTTTTCTATTGGCCGGCGGCTCTGCTGCCATAAAAAAAGAAGAAAAAACTCTCCCGGGCTCTGCGGGAGTCTCCCGCTCCCGGCCGCCCAGGAGAGAAACACTGGTTTTTGGTTTTTTTTCTTTATTCTGATACGGAGCCGTGTCAGAATAGAAAAAAATAATTATTTTTGTCCATAGGAATGCATTGCTAGATTCCTATTGGCTATTTCAATTTGCAATAGCCAATAGTAAACTAGCATTGCACCCGCCCTCTGCTGATGGACTTGATGGAGAACTGCAGCAGAGGGGCGGGTGCAATGCTAGTTTACTATTGGCTATTGCAAATTGAAATAGCCAATAGGAATCTAGCAATGCATTCATATGGGCAAACATTTTTTATTTTTTTTCTATTCTGACATGGCTTCGTGTCAGAATAAAGAAAAAAACAGAAAAAGCAGTTTATCTCTCCTTGGCGGCTGGGAGCGTGATACTCCCGGAGCGCCAGGGAGAGTTTGCTGTCTGGAGATCAGTGTCCCTGGTTAGCTGGTAACCAGGGACGCTGATCTCTCTCCAGCCGTTAGAAGCAGGCTGTCGGCCGGCCAATGGCCAGCCGCTCGGCCAGCTTCGGCTTTCAGTGCGGCTCTGCCGAGCCGAGGCATATGCGTTCTACTGAACCGAAGGGGTCCTGGGGCCGAAGCTAGCTGAAGGATCGGCCGAAGCTACGGCTAGATCCTTCGGCTGCTTCGTGAATAGACCCCATAGTGATCACATGCAGACTGAGGGCGTTATTCAAAAAAAAAAGCTTCAACCTGCAGATGAATATTGCCTTCAGGCTGCCATCTGTTTAATGCTCTAATTGTCAGGCACCATTACAATTTAAAAAAAAAAATAACGAAAAAAAAAATAAAAAACTTAAAAGAAAAAACAGCAGGATGTCGCATACTTAGGTAAGCAAATTAATTAGAGTTAACCAATGGTTACTGGCACTGCTAAATTTGGAATGGGCATTTAGACTTCAATAATCTCTGGGCAGGAATAGGTTAAATAACTGCAGATTCAGCCAAAAGTACATGCTGTAAATAAATATATTAATGTAAAATGTTTTTGTACCTTCTGAGATCTTACAGAACCCTGAATATGCAAAGGAATTTACCTGGCAAACTCAACAATAACAAATAATTATTTGCATAAGTAAAGTTAGTCAATGACTCCTCTTTCTGTAGCAAGGGTTAAAATTTAGATTTGGTGTACCTGTTCACTCCTTTTTCAACAGCTGATTTGATGTCAATAAGGTCATCCACATTTTGAGTTCTGTCAAAACACAAATGTAACATTTATGTAATGTAACATGTGCACTATTACAAAGTAAATAACAATATTTTTAATGTCATCTATAAAGTAGCTTGGTATAAAGTGACTCTAAACTCAGCAGTTAAATCTTAAAATTTGTTCAAGTACATTAACTAATAACAAAAATATACCTTAATTGTGTATCACTCAGCTGTAGATCCTCAAATCATCTCTGAGTTCATACTGACACTGTGCTTCCTTCTGGAGGGTGACTACTTTTGTTCCTTATGATCTCTGAGTGTGTTGTAAAGTAGCCACCGCTCCATGCTCGCTCCTGTGATGGACTTAAATATCATGTTCAGTTTACTAATATGTATTGAAATTGTAGTCCATCACAGGAGCGAGCATGGTGTGGTGGCTATTTTACAACACACACAGGAACCATGGGGAACAAAAGTAGCCACCCTGCAGAAGGAAAGACAGTGTCAGCATGAATAGACCTGTGTTAAAACTGATGCTAATCTTGTAAAAAAAATGATATATATATATATATA